GTGTGCAGGCTCGGTCAAGACTTGGAGTTGAATTTTATTGGATTCAAAAAAAAAAGATCCGTGGATAAGCCTTTCCTTTGCATACCTGAGACGTGAGACCTGACTAAGATCGGCCTGTTCGACGGATTCCTCGCTTGAATCGGCTTGCAATTGCAACAAACCCGCGAGGACACAAGCACGCTCGGCTCCCTTCTTTATTCCCCCGTCCGCCCGCTGCAGTAGCTAGCCTCCGTGGTACGCCGCCACATCCATCGTCATTCGTCAGTCGCCACATCGCGTCGCCTCCATAGTCCTCCGCTGGCTGTCGCCTCGTCTGCTGGCACATTCCTCATATCCGCCCACCGCCGCCTCAATCTCCACCTGGATCTTCAGATGGTACATTAGATTCAGCGATTGATGCCATGTACGTATCTGCGAATTTGTCATCAGATTCAGCCATTGAACATTTGATCCGAGTCCGACTACAGTGATTTTTAGTTGTTTGCGTTGAACTACCCACCGTGTGTGATTGGGAATATAATGGAGGATTTCTGCGGAGTGTATACATCTTGAATTCTTTAGTCTATGCAACCATTTGTCTACATACTGATCAAGAATTCACCATTTTTTCTTGTTGTCATCAAACTCAAGATTTGATTTTGTTAACCATAAGAAAGCAAATACATAGTACATTGCAACTAACTGTTATAATTATATATTATGATTTATTGCATCCAGCTTGATGAGTAGCATTTGTTTTCATCTCTATTAACTATGGAAATTTGCTATAACTGTGTTCGTTTAGGGTTTGCACTTTAATTGGACTCTACATCTTGGGTGCCCTTACAATGACTTCAAGAATAAGCGCTATTGTCCATGCTTGGTAGACATGGCTTTATAACTAAACGGTAACGTTAAGATGTAAGGAAACATTGATATATATAGTCATTTTCACCATCGCCATGGAGTTAGCACCTAAGATCAAGCATATCGTACCAACATATACAAGCACAGATCTCCATTCCTATGAAGAAAAAATGGTGAATTCTTGATCAGTATAGCCCATTGTTGCAATATAAACGGTATCGCACATTGCCCGTGTATTTAATTAAAATTCAGCTATATCAGTGTGGAATTATCACATTGCACATTTTATTCATACACAGAATTAAATCTAGTGCTAATATTTCTCAATTTCTCGATGACAAAATTAGGTATTAGATTTCTCAATTTCTAGTGTTAATAAATATTAAATCTGAAGAACAAAATTAGGTATAAGATTTCTCAATTTCTCGATAACATCTGGCATGAAAAGAAATTTGCCACATTGCACACCTACCAAGAAAATCATGCCTATACATATATAGTAGTAACAACTTTAGATATTATATTCAGCGATTGTATTATGCTCCATCTGTTCCAAATTATAAGAAACATTTAGATATACACAATGTCTTAATACATAGTAAAAACAATGTATCCAGAAAAACTAAAACCGTCATAGAGCAACTCCAAGAGATTTGATAAAAATAGATGGCTAAACTCATGATTTAGTCAATCTCTAAAATAGAAATCCATGCAAAATAACAAAAAACTCCAACAGCCATGGCTAGCGACACATGCAAGCTATATTTGCTATGCGAGAATTCCGAGATATATGGCTTGCTATTTTAGAAAGCCAAATACAATTGCTGTTGGATTCTCTTTTCTTTCCAAAATAGTCTAATATAGATTACACAACATGTATGGCTCTTCTGTTGGAGTTGCTCGGAATAGAGGAAGTAGTTGATTTTTTTTTGTTGAAGCAGTTGTGCATGCGCTGCATGATATCCGAGTGATTTTGTGGGATTCTTTTTCTTTTTTAGGTTATTTTACTTATTTATTTATTATAAAAAATTAAAAATCAATGTCTAAGATTTATTCGAGCTATTACCTTCAGAGGAGTAACCAGAGTACTGTAACAAAGTCCATCTAAAAGTATAATTATGAACTTTGAATTTGAGCCCAAATTGAGAGTTTTAACCATCCCTTAAGTTTTTATCTATTTTAAAAGTAGGCCTGCCAAAATGAATATACTAAAAAAAAAAAGGGAGCAACCCATCCATAAAGGGCGCATTTGTTTCCCTTCACAAAGGGCTGACCAGACCGTTAGGCTATAGGGGCGGCACGTGTTTGGTAGCTTGGACCAACTTTCTAGCCAAGCTCGCATGGACCTCAAAGCACCTCGTAGTTGTGTCTCCCAGAAACGAAAGTGGTCTTCATTTTTTCAGATCCTAGCTCGTTAGAGTGCTTGAGGGAGAAATGCGACTGTAGCTCTCACCTTCCACTTTTTTCGTCGTCTCTCCTTGCGCGGGTTTCGCCATGGATGACTCCTGCGCGCGGCGCCTCCGCCGTGCCCAACGCGCGAACCGGGGCACGTGTGAGGCAGCCGTAACCACAGTCGCAGCCGCGCCATGCCAGAGCGCGTGAAGGGGTCGCAAGTCACGCCGCCGAGATAACTAAGGGTAGGTACATGCGAGGCCGGAGGTGGAGAGAAGAGCCAGTGCGCATGTGTACCGCTGCCGCGCCCCCACGCTGAGCCGTGGTGCACGCGCGTGTGCTGCCGCCATTGTGACCGTCGCGCTGAGCCGGGGTACGCGAGGTTCTGCAAGTCCGTGTCGGACCTGAACCGACAAGGAGCTTGGCGGCGTCCATCTTGCGAAACGTGATGGAGATCCTTTTGGCGTGGGCGGCAGGGATGCAGTGCTTGGCGTCACGGAGCTTACCAGTTGAGACATGAATATCGGAGGGGTCCGATAGAAACGAAAATCGCGAAAATCAGTGAATATCGGTTGAAATTTCAGTCAAAATTTTCAAATCTTCATGAAATTTTAACTGAAATTTGAAAAACCTAAACGAAATTGAACCGAAATTACCGGTATGTGTATTTACCGGAGGTGACCGATAAAAACGAAAATCGCCGATTTTCAACGAAAACCGGGCAAAATTCTGAACTATGGAACTTGCTTGGCGACGTCGCCGTTGGCGAGCACAAGGACGGAGCCTGGGGGCAGCGAGATGGACGTCGGGCCGACGAACTCGCTGAGGCCAACCACCCTGAAGGCCCCTGCCAAAGAGGAAGGAGACAGTGTAGAAGGGGCGGGCGAAGTCGTGGTGGTCCACGTGCGGCGGGATGCAGTCGCGCCCACATCGTAGACGCTGACGATGCAACCGTCGGGCACGCAGGTCCGCGGGAGGAAGCGCCAGACATGAGGCGGACCATGGACTTGAGCGGCGGCGGCAAAGTGTCCGCCTCCTCACCGCATATGAGATTCCCATTGGGTTGCCGTCACAGTCCGTGGCGTAGTTGTAGCAGCAACCGAACTGGATCGTCACGCGGCCCTTGCCACACACTTCCACTTGCAGGGAGGAGGCTGCGGCAGCCATTTGCCTTCAGGTGCTCACGCTAGTGTAGTACTCGATGAAATGATAATGAGGGGAGAAACGAGAAGATGTGGTGGTAAGACTACCATATTCCTAGTGAAAACTAGCTATACATATTTGTACATGCAAACAAATATAATCTTTGTTTTAGCCGGACTTGCTGTGAATCAGTGAAACAAACACTTGAGCTTGCACTATAACAACCGTGCTTGAGCTGGCCAGAGGTAGCCATGCTAGGTAGGATCAGGAAACGGAGAGACTAGCGCCCGAACGTTCGGACGTGATCTATGGATACAGTTTCATGCTCTACTTTGTCTGTGCTCCGCGTCTGCTGCCTGTCCATGGATGCACCTTTCGTGCTCTCGCCGCCTCATGCAACGCTTTCTTTGTCGGCCAATAAATGTAACCGTGTGCGCGTCTGCTGCCACGCTTATGGATACTGACCGTGCTCAAGCGCTGTTGCGCTCGCGCTTCGCTTCTCACGCACATTACATGGGGACCGGCTCCTGCGCCCAGGGGGGACCATGAAACACTTGCAACATCGCCCCTTGCCACGTCGAAATAGATGAAACATTTACAACATACGGTTGCAACATATGTGTATGGGAACTACAAGATATGCAACATCTAGATAAAACACTTGTAACATATGTTTAAAAATAGCTGAAACATTTGAAGCATACACTTGCAACATACGTTTGAAACAAGCTGAAACATTTAAAACATACACTTGCAACATACGTGTATAGTCATTGCAACATACGCAATACCAAATCTACTTTTGTAGCATCTAGATGAACATATGCAACATATATCTAAAACGCATGAAACATACGGTTGCAATATGTGCTCATCTACTTGCTACTTTCTAATGGATGCTCGTTGACGTGGAGCTTGACGCCGACGCAGAGCTCGATGCCATCATGCGGAGGTCGGACCTTGGTTGTGCGCCACACGAGGTGCGGCGGAGCGCAGCCCAAGGTGCGAGGCGAGAGCAACACGCGGGTGGGGGCGCAAGGCACGAGGTGCGGATAGGGCACGCGAGGCATGAGGCGCGAGACAGGGGTGCAGGCAGGTCCGTTCTGTCCGGCGGAACGGACGCTCGGCGTTACCGATCAGGAAAACAAACACACTGGAGACACGATTCAAAGCAAATGCAGGGAAAACGGCGCTGCTTTTACTTCATCGCTATCCCCATTTCCGCACTTTGGGCCTTCCACCCAACCCAGCCTAAAGCAGCCTATGCAAAAACTAACCAGATTCTAGGCCTTGTTTAGATTGTAAGTTTTTTCACTTTCTCTCCATTACATTAAATCTTTGACATATGTATGGAATATTAAATGTAGATAAAAAATAACTAATTACATAGTTTGATTATAAATTACGAGACGAATCTTTTGAGCCTAGTTAGATCATGATTGAACAATAATTGTCAAATACAGATAAAAATATTACCGTGCCAAATACTGATTCCTGGCCCCCACCCCGGTCTAAACAATGCCCTGTATGATACAGATCTCTGCCATATAATCGAAGATTCGAAGATGAAGAGGACGGAGCCCACAACCCCGCCGCCGGCGTCAGCATCCGCGGCCGCGATGGCTGAGGTACTCGGCAACGGCGACCTCCTCCACGTGATCCTTCTCCGCCTCGGTTTCCCCACCTGCCTTGTCCGCGCCGCTGCCGTCTGCAGGCGCTGGCTCAGGCTCGCCTCTGACCCGGCCTTCGTCCGCCGCTTCCGCAAGCTCCACCCGCCCCACCTCCTCGGCTTCTACCTCGTCACCTACTGCGACCGCCCGTTCCCGCGATTCGTGCCGCTGCCGCAGCACCCGGAGCTCGCCGCTGTCATCCACCGCGGCAGCTTCGGACTGGGCCAGGAAGTGGTATCGGACTGCAGCAGCGGCCACCTCGTTCTCTCCCTCAACAGCGGATTTGCCGTGCGCCGCCCGCTTCAACCTGGGCGGGGCACAATCGCCCTTCCAAAGCTACTGCCCCCTGCCGTACAAGGTTCCGACAGTGTCTACTCTCGAGATGTGTTCCTCACAGTGGGCGATGGCGGCAGTATGTCATACACCGCAGTGACCTTGATGTGCAGCGGCCTTAGATTAAAGGTTCATATATCCAAGTTGCAAGGCGAAGCCTGGTGCGATGGCCGTTCCTTTGACCTGATAGAGCTGCCGCAACGCAGGGCCAGATGGAACAAGTTAGGTTTGATTGCCTGTGGAAAGTTGTACATGGTCTGTGCAGCCGGTTACATTGTTGGTATAGATTTGCCAACCTTAAGCTTGTTCTACATCAAACTACCAGAAGTAGTAGTGTAGCATGCATATCAAGCTAACATTAGGCTGTCACGTGCTGAGGGTTCTGGATTTTATCTCATCTATGCAAAAGGGTTTCAGATTCGCATCTGGCACTATAGTACAGGCAGCATTAGCAATGACGATTGGAAGCTGTTCGATGCGTTTTGTCTGCTTCGGCAGTTTGGTCACCTTGCAGATCCTAGTTGGCCTCCTGGGGTTTCTGTTCATGTGGATGTGGTCGGAGACAATGCCAAATTTGTGTTCTTGCGGATACACAGTGAAGTCTTCTACATGTGTATGTGTACAAGGACAGTAAAGAAGGTATATGACCTAACACAGGACTACAGACAAACTTGGTACCTCTTTGGAGTGCATCCTTTCATGATGGTTTGTGCTCCCACCTTCCCTGTGCTGAAGCATGTACATGACCAGGAGGATTGATCACACAAGGTTTGTCTCCATTCAACTGAAAGTTCTGGGTTTATGATATACTTCTATTACTGTAGTCATGTAATGGAGATGGATGAGAAATTATGTGTCAAATGATGTGCCTCCATCTCAGATTGGTTTGAGAGTTAGTACAATGTGTGCTAACATTCAAGTCATTACTCTATGTTTTTTATTCGAATCAGCATCTTATGTGGCTAAACTGAATTGAGGGTACAGCTTTCGCACATCAGGATTCAGGACTTCCCATTGAGTATTGTAGCTGGTACATTGATTGTGGTTGTGAATTTAGCATTCAGCTCCTTGCCTTAATGTGCTAACATCAATAAGCTTAAATATAAAATGGAGATATGGGAAATAACGGTCCCTATGTCATATCTTCAGTAAAAGCTGGTATAATACCATATATGACAAATAGGAGATAAACTTTGCCCACTCAAGTACCATCCCCCCTAAAACCATTCAGTTAATCATACAATATAAGTAGATCGTCGAATGTCAACAACAGATGTGTTTTTCTAAAATCTTTACATTATGATTTTAGTTTACTTACTTTGATGCCAGATAGAATTAAATCATCCGTTGATATATTAGAGTATATGACCACAAGTATTATTACCTCTATTCATGAGCTAGAAGTGATTCAGCTCTTCAGTAGGGTGTTAGATGGATTTTACTTGAATATGTTTTCAATCCAAAATAGTTGCATGTCTAGAGTGTAGTGCTTCAAATGTTGAGCATTATATGATCATGAACAATCCAAAAATACTTGCATGTGTATGAGTGTAGTGCTTCAAATATTTAGCATCAATCCAAAATATACTTGCATGTCTATTATGAGTGTAGTTCTTTAAAAATTGAGCATTACATAATCATGAAAGATTAAACCAAAGGGTGCGAAATCAAATGTCTTCACCCATTGTATTGCTCTAGGTTGATTACTCCCTCTTCTCCCGAATACTCTACACATTTGACTTTGCACGGTGTTTGATGTTTATCTTTGACCACTAATCTTTTCTAGAAAATATTATTAAAAATCCTTGAAAATTAATAGACTTTGCAAGTATGTTGCATACAAATCTACACATAGAACTTACATGTTTTCAAACTAAACAATGTAATAGTTATTGATGTTTATAATTTTTAAGCTTTGACCAAATCTTGTCCTTAGCAACATGTTTTTGTGACTGGAGGTGGTACAATGTTTTTGTGTATGGTCCTTTCTACTATAACGTGCTGGTTGTTAACAAGTTTAAACTAAATGCCTTTGAGTAATTTATAACTATTATTATTATTATTTTAAGAATCCTTGAGCCAAATTTCAGGAATGAGGGTCATGGCCTTTAAGAATCCTTTGTATATTCAACATTACATGGTCACAACAATTTAAAGCCACGCCAGTTATTGTCAAGGCTGGGGAGCTGCTGGATAGGTTTTGGATTCTTGAGGCTGCAAATAGCTTGCCACTTAGAGTTGGGAACCTGAGCTGGGGGTATACATGTCAGGTTCCGATATCAATGTCATAGAAAATGCTCAGTTTGTGTTCTTGGATCCTGAGAAGACTGGTTATCTTGTTTATATGCATCGGAAGAGCTGGATAGTTAATATCGTCCATTGTAGGATGCTGGGTGGTTTTGCAAGCATCTTTCCTCTTGTAATGGTCTGGCCTCTTGTCCTCCCTGTCCTTAATAAAGGGTATGATCAAGAGGAATGATCTTGCTCTGTTTCCTTTGATTTGAGCTATCTTTGAAATATGGTAGCATTAGTAGTGGGTTTGGCATAGTCTCCTCTCTAATTGTTATATTTTTTTTTTAACTTAGCTGTGTCTAATTCCTTTCTTGAGTTTGTACCACATTTGCATTTTGATAATGTGCTATTTCTTTGTGTACATCTGTTCGCTACTACAAATTTGAGTTGATATGTCCTTGTTGCATAGTTTACAAATAGTAATCTTGTATGGTTAATAATGTTGATATTCAGAACTTGGTAGATGATTATAGAACATGTAGATAGAGTAGCTGGCAGAGTCGTATAAGTTGAAATCTTATAATCTCTGTTCATTTCACTACAATCCACCACAAATGGTGTTGGAACTTGACCTAGCAGAACTGAACTGAACTTTCTGATATTGACAGTTGTTTACTGTCATATGAAGGCTTTTCTCCTTACATTTCAGAAGCAATGAACCACTGAATGTTTTCTAGTAATGATCTGCAGTGTGAGAAACCTATGATGGGAATTGAGACAGAGGTAACTGAATGTTGATCCTTGATGCAGGGAAGCTTCATTTTGTGCTCTTTGCAGGCATTACGGTAAGAGAGCAAACGATGTTCAGCATTAATTATGTCATATGTTGTTCCAGGATAAAATTTTAATTGTTAACTATTATTTAGGTTGAGAAAGTTATCACTTTTATCACTAACATTGCAATTGGAGGTATTTTTTGTTACAGATTGATTGACCAAACTAGATAGGGTAGCAAAGAAAACAGAAGTGAACTATTTAATCTGTCAATTATCAATTGGTAGCTCATTAAATGATTTCAACTGTACACTTTTCTAGCAGTTGGTAAACACATCCAAGCTTACTATTCTTTTTACATTGCATCACAACTTACTATTCTTTTTCAGTGAGAGTGTCATTAGATTTGTGGTTTTTGTATAGGACTTCTAGTTGTTGTGTAAGGTGGCACATAGATAAGAGATGATTGTGTGACTTGTTTGTGCTAATGTATTGGTCTTTGTACCTTCAAAATGCTAGTGAATCATCGTGTGATTGTGTTGTTGACTTTTTTATGGTGGAGGCATAATCTTTCTGGTGGGCGATGGTATCAGCATACTTTTCTTGGGATGATGTTTGGCTAATTGAGCAACCATTGGCTGTCGCTTGTCCTGAACTACATGCAATGGTGCAGCAGACTGAGATAACTGTGCCAAGTGTCTTGTCAGGGCAAGGTATCCTCAAAATAATGGTTGCAATGGGACAAATAAATGCTAGTAGGGTTGATCAGAGAATTGAAGGGCCATCTTTTCTTTCAGTGTCCAGTTGCAGTTTTTTTTTATGGAGCACATGTGGTTGCTTACTTGTTTTCACAGTAATACCAAAGCTTCTTTAGAGAGTTCCCAGGTTTGTGTCATTAACTGCTTCTAGGCACGTGTGAGTGTCACTGAATTGGTTTGCAACAGTGAGCTGGGCATTGTGGGCAATACACAATGAAATCTGCTAAGTACAGAGATACAGTACAAATTCTGTGCCTTTCTATAATGGGGAAGGTTTGCAAGCACATTAAGCACAAAGACAATACATTAGGGTGGTAGCTCGGCTCATTCAAGAACACGTGGTGAAACTGGAGCAACAATTATCGATCAAGAACATTGGTTCCAGCATGGTGGATATTTTCTAGAGAAGAACTGACGGCATCAGATCGTGATCAAGCTTACCGGTCATTATCATGTTGCTTGGTGGTCTGTTCGTAACCGAGTATTAGTTTTAGTTCCTTCCATATAGACTAATACCTTTTGGGCCAACTGCGAGCTACAAGATGTTTAGTGCCTCATTTGTATTTTTATTTTAATTTCAGAGAGCTTCCGGTTAACTCTTGATACAAACCTGACGAAATTGAGTTATGGAAACTTTGATATTCCGGTGGTTTTGAATTTCAGATATTTTCATTGAACATCTGGTGTGCTAAGGGTAGGGGTTTCGGTTCTTTGTTGTTCCCTTTGTTTTCGTATTGCTTTGAAAGAATTCTAACCAATCCCTAAGGTCAACACATTATTAAGCATGACCTTGGTGGGCAGATGAGAGATATGTTGGGTTATAATCAGGATATATGCTAAATTCTTAGGGTTGTTTGGTTACACTAAAATCTATCCTAACTAATTTTTCATCATAATCTCTCCTAATCCATGTGGATTAGGGTGATTTGTGTCAATCCACATGTGTTGGAGTGGATTTGAGTGCCATCTCAATCCACCCTAACGCATGTGGATCGAGGTGAATCTAACAATATTCAAACAAGGCCTTAGAAGAGGAGTTTTAACGGCTTCCATTTTACCCCTCCAGACAACTTGAGCCCCAAATCATCCAATTTGAAGGGCTCGAAGGTTCAATCTTTGAGAATCAATGCTGCAATTGCTCACTAGGTGAGGTGAGCACTACACTGGAACAGAATTATGCATCTCGCCCATGCGGTGTGGACCGGGTTGGTAATTTATTTGAGAATCTTCAACAGTAGCCCTCAAATCAGGGTCTCTATTTTTTTAATTTAAGGGTTTTCCCTACTTTTGAGGGGCCTGAATTTTAAGTTGAACTCCAACAAGAGCTTTCAAATTAAGGCCTCTACTTCCTGTTAGTGTTTTTTTTCACATACTGCATCTATTGTTCCTATTTAACATGACATAAATTCAAACAAAAGTATTAGGAGTTTATACATATGAATAATTTTAAAATCCACAAATTCAAATACTACAATTCAAATTTTAAAACGAATAAAGTGACATCCCAAGGGTCACAGTTTCATCCAACCATAGTTTCACAAATAAATTCCATGGCAACAATCAAACTAGGTGCAGCTATGAATAGACCAAAGGTGCTCAATAAGATCCTCTCAAAGCCTCTCATGTGCTTGCTTGTCTTCAATCTCCTTGTGGATCTTGAGGAACTCCGACAATACAAGTGGATTACATCATCGATACTCCTCCTCCCTCAGTACCTTGCCACCATCTTGGTCTAGTCGTATCCTCTGTCATCTCCCTCATCCCGCTCATCCTCAATTATCATGCTGTGCATGATCATAGCAAATTGTCATTATTTACCAAAGGATATTTTTGTTCCAAAATTACAATAGCATATAGAGCTTGTAAAACACCAAATGCTTTCTCCACATCCTTCCTCACAGCTTCTTGTGCTGCTGTGAAATGAATCCTTGTTCCCTTGTGGATTTGTAGTTTTTGCTCAGTTGGAATTTGAGGGCTCTGTTGGAGTTGGAGTTT